CGCCAACCGACCAACAACTCCGTCCGTCGGATCGCGCGCGAAAAACAATTCGCGGAAATCGACGGCTTAACGGGGAAACATATCTCGAGCATTCCGACACACCGACCGTACATCCTTGACAGGAGCCTTGACTTTTCGGCGAAGCGGAGCGCGCGTTGGCGGGTTTCGTAAGCAACAGCCGCTTCCCTTCCCTTCCCTTCCCTTCCCTTCCCTTCAGCGGCGTGATATCTCGCACGTTCCTCTCGCATCTCTTCGCTACGCGCGCGTATGTACACTTTCGCTCGACTACTCTTTTTCCGGACGGTATCGATTGTAGCGCGCGCGCAACGGACAGCGCGACGGCGAAAGTAGAGGCGATATTCTATATCCGAGCGAAACGGCGCGTCAACTTCGCTAATATATATAATAATGAAAAAACCCGTCAATCCTTCCCCATGCATGCTCGTCCATCATGAATTTTCTCTCTTTAATTCGCCGTCGCGCTTCAACCGCCGTTTAACGATTCCTCTGTATCAAACATTCATCGCTCGTCTCGCGTAGCGAATCTCTAAACTGTCGAATGAAATAAAAGAACGATGACGATGGAGCTCCACGAGGAGCGATGAACAAGAGTATTATTCTGCTAATTCTTATAACGATAAAACGTAGTTTATTTTATATTATTTCTATCATTGACAAATAGATTGCATATTCTTCTCTTTATTGGCTTAATCGAAATGTTTATAAATGTTATAAAAAAAAAAGTGTCAACGCGCGTCTCGTTAGAATAAAAGAAAGAAAGAATAATAGAGGAAGATCAATATCTTACGAATGCGTCTGAACTGGGAACCGTGAAAGATACAGGAAGTTGCGGATTATTGCGCAATGTTGCAGTCCGCGTCGTCTGCGATCGTATACTTCAACTTTTAGATCAGTTCGAAGCATTGGGAATTCAATGATTTATTTCTCGATTTCGACGAAACAACCCTGTTTGCACATTTGAACGATATGTGCCGTCCAAGCACTTGTAATTTTCGGCAATGCGGCTCGGCGTGTGTATCGTCGATCGTACCTATATATACCTTACTTTTCCTTTTCTCAATGGAGAATGAAAAAAGGAAGGCAAACGTCGATAAACCTAGAATTACAAATCTTGGACAGCACTGACTTGTACAGTGGCGTAAACGCCACTTGAACATTACTGATTTACGTGATCGCTCCCCGCTCAGATATATATTTAGAACCATCGCGTCGTATAAAACACTGTGGCTGTGGAGAGAAAGTTCAGAAACGCCTGTCAAAGGATATTTTCGGATCGTTATAGCGTGCATCGCGTATATTGTGCGCGCGCGCGACAGTTTACGCTTCATTTAAAAATGACGGCACGAAGACGACGAAGACGAGGACGGTCGCGCGCGTTTAGTCGGTAGATATCGACTTTCTCAAAGCACGAGCTCGCGGTAGAGACGACGACGCGATAAATCTCGCGGGGAAAGCAATCGTTGGAAGAATTAAAGATACCGTAATACTCGCGTATTAGCAGAGTGAGAGCGCGCCAAGGTAGCGAGGACAGGGCAGGGCAGAGCAAAGAGGACCGGAGGAGACGACGTGAAAAAAACGGGACGCGCTCTTGCGCTACTTTAAACCCGGAACGAGCGATTTTTGCCGCCGCCGCCGCCGTTGCCGCCCTGCCACCGCGCAAGATACCTCTCCGCCGTTATCGATTAAAACGCCCCACCTGCTGGAGGTTATAAAAACCGAAAGGGCCGTTCCGCTTGCGTACTTTACTCTTACTGCACGCGTGTCCGTGAATGTGCCTGTGTGCGATTCGAACCTCGTAAATCAGCGTCGGTCGGTCGGTTGGTCGGTCGGTTGGTTGGTCGGTTGGTTGGTCGGTCGGTTGGTTGGTTGGTTGGTCGGTTGGTTGGTCGGTTGGTTGGTTGGTTGGTTGGTTGGTTGGTTGGTTGGTTGGTTGGTTGGTTGGTTGGTTGGTTGGTTGGTGACCTCGCGCGACGACTCCGACACACGGCTAGCAATTATTCATTCCGCGAGCTTCCGAATCTTGTTACATCTCGGATATGACAGCGATATTCTACCTCGCGACTCTGCCCGCTGCTTCAGCCAGTCGACTGACATTCAATTTTAACCAGTTGTAATTTGACATTCGTAGAATCGCGTAGAATCCTATATTGGCTCTATTATTAAACCTTCGCCAAGCGGCTACAGTCGCGAAAATGGATATGAAATTTATGCACATTGAACACAGACATTGTCAACTTGTTATCCGATTTTCAAAATTAATCTGCCCTGTGGACAGAAAAAGAAGAGAATCACGCAGGATTTCGATTCTATCTATTGGATACGGACAGGGTTTCGTCTCTCGAAGGGAATTAACGTGTCACCCCGGCTGTACTGTTATTAGAATGGACCACCCTGTATGCGTAGCCTCGTCGGCGATTGCATACGGACGACATACGAACGTTCGGTTCACCACGGCCGGCGCTCGTTGATGCTGCAAGTCAAAATAAACGATGTTCTGTCTTCATTGCCATCGCCGCCGCCGCCGCCGCCGCCGCTCCCAGAAGCGGCGGGAATCGTTGGTGCAACGCCCCGCCTAACGCGATTCTCATCCTCTTCTTTTTCCTCTTTAATTCTCAACGGGCTTTGTCAAAGTTTAGCCCACTTTAGATTCAGCTTTAGCCGCGACGGCTTATTTATAATTTTACGAGTTTAGATGTTTACTCCGTTTATCATAATGCCAGTTTCTACCAATGCAGTTAAACCTTAAATTTCTTTCAGCTCAATTAACTCTTCATCTTTTTTCTACTTCTTGAGCTAGAAGAAGGATAAAGAGTTGGTTGAACCGAAAAAATGAACCGTTAAAATGAAACTGTTCTTACATACATTGGTACAAGAAACGGGCACGACACACTTCGTCTTTTTGCGATGCGAAAAATTGAAAGAAAAAAAAAAAAAAAAGGAAAGATGAACCGAGATTAAAGTTAATCTATATTGGTAGAAACCGGGCATTATAGAGAGGACAAGCCGGTATTTTAACGAGCGATGCGTAACGGAGGGGAAAACCGACTCCGCTCGGCCAAGTTTGTACCCGCGCGGGCGTGTTTTTCACGTCGTCGTTCACGTTGTCGCGCGTGAACGGCGGTTTTTAGAAAGTACACGTCCCCCTCGTCGCCAAATATATTTCAACCGGAGTTATTATTATCTCGCGAAACCCAGAACGGTCGATAGCTCTCCTCCCGTCGTCGTGGCCGTCGTGACTCAAAGTCGAGCCGAGCCGGGCCGAGCCGAGCCGAGAACGGTCGAATCGAGCCGAGAGAGCCGAACCGAATCCGAGAGAACGCGCGAGGTCATGTCAAACTCTTCGACGTGTGAAAAAGGCGATATTCTCTCCCTTCGAGGCGCGTCGCGATAAAGATGTAAGACGTAAGATGTAAAGGCTGACGTACAAGTCGCGACGTTCGTTCGCACGTGCGACCATTTTCGCGTTATGCGAACGGCACTGAGGTCACGACTCTCTCAACTTGGCGACGATATTGTCCACATGCGATTAATCGTCGTCGAAGAATGAAAAGCGCCGCAATTTACAATAGCATCGTATATGTGTGCTAAGTTAGGTTAATCGGGGAAATCAGATCCGAACGCGTTCTCTTTTCTTCCAAATTTCGATACAATTATAATATAAAATTAAAAGCTTTTTTAGAAATATAAAATACACGAGATTCGCGAGAGAGAATCTGCTCTGTTTAAGCCAGAATTGTATTTAATAATGTAGCAATAATCAGTTGCAGCGTGTCTGTTTTTGTCGATGTGTCACCGGGTGTCTCTCTCTCTCTCTCTCTCTCTCTCTCGTGCAAGTGTTCCACCATTTCAAGCAACCATTGAAGAAGACGTAACGATATATAAATATCCGAACGCGCGACGTATTGCGGCCTAACGGCACGTTAACACTCATTAAGGAAAAATAAGACCATTAACACTCGCGCACGTCCCTGAGCCGATCAATGTCGTCGCATGCATACGAATAAGTTTGCACAGTTGCAGCGTCTAATGCCAGACGAAGCGTAAACTAAATAGAATCTAACTTTTTATTTAACCGTTTACGTTACGTAAGAAAAAGGCTGATTGGACGCCGCGGCGTCCTCTTCTTCAGACTTGGATGTTCCGCTCACAAATGCGCCTGTGTGTGATGTATTACACATGTGTGAATATGCGTCATCACATAATGCACAAATTAAAAAGTAATTTCTAATATAACACACGTAGACACGTAGAATTTCTATCGAGTCATTGTACTAATTACGGAAATTAAATGTGCGTCGAAAAGATAGCAAATTGATAAGGAGAGCCTTTGTGCCTTTCCTCCCTCCTTCTTTTTTTCTTTCTTTCTTATATCCCTTTAATTTTTTTACGAGTCTCAAAGTTGAATTTTTACAAAATCCGGTCATGTC